CTCTGTTCTTCTGATCCAAGCTTGACTTTCTCACTGGTGGCAGAGGAGGGGTCCCTTTGGGACGAGCAAGGACGCAGTGTTTGGGAGAGGCCATTTTCTTGTCAAGGCTAGCCTTAGAAAACTGGGGGAGGGCAGGAGACCCGACTGCACTGCTGTCGGTGGCAGTAGGATGGAGGTGACTGTCGGGCTCCTCCAGTTTGCTCGCCTTCGGGAGCCCTCGGGGGAGGCTGCTGCTCTTCAAGCCGTCACTGGAATGAACAGGACTTTGGGTTGTAGAGCCGGCTGCTGCCACCTCACACCCATCCACAATTCTTTTTAGACTGTCAGATCCTGGGGAGATAGAGGCATCCCCGCTGCTGCTGCTGCTACTGAACCTGTCCGCCGAGGACTGCTTTGTGCTCTGTTCGGGCTTGGCTGAAACTGTGGCCACGTCAGGCCTTGGCCCATCACTGCCCCCAGAGCTATCCTTTTTTATATCTTCTTCTCTCTTCAGCCAAGGGTCTTCAAACGTGATATCCTTCTTAGCATTGGATTCTTTCGTATCATGGGGATGAGCAACCTTTGGGTCTGCAGTTACTGCCGGCACAGCATCAGTGTCTTGTGCTTTGAAGGGATTAACGGCAATACATGGATAAACAGTAATGTTTGTCTTCATTGGGATGTAGCCTTCACAGCTGCTGAGGCTTGCGGTGTTTTTGATTGTGACGGTAGTCTTCCCTAAAGCTGATATTTTACAGCCTTTGATGGGTGGCACTTTGCCGAAAGCTTCCTCCCCCATTTCCGACAGTATAAGCATGTTGTCAGTCACTGGCTTCTGTTTGTCACTTACACAAATCATGCTGGCACTTTGTATGGTGCTTGCAAACTCAGAGACAGGGGGTTCTGCCATTGCTTCCCCATGCCCATAGCATGCCTGGGCTATGAAGCTGTGGCACGACTGTTCACCATCACTCCCTGTGCTCATTTCACTCAACCATGAGCTGATGGATGAGCGCCTGCTGCCATCATCCTGGGATTTGTCATCCAGACCCAACTTTGGAAGTGGAAGGAACTGTGTGATGCTGACTTCAGACACAGGAGCTGCACTGGAGTAACATTCCAGATCTTCAGATATGCTGCTGATAATACTGACTGGCCTAGACCCAGAGGCCAAAGCCTGCACAGAGCAGTCACTGTTGAAACTGATAATACTGGTTGGGCGCCCATTGTCAAGGACCCCACTAATGGTTAGCTCTTCTACAAGGGTGAACACCAGCTCATCCTCTCCATTCAGCTCTAACGGTTGCTGCACAGTCACCATGGTGGTGCTCAGAATCTCCTTCTTGCATTCTGAAGAAATGCTTTGTTGTTGATCTTCATCAAGAATGGTCTCTTCAAAATCCCCATTGCTGGAAGACACTGACTTCTTCATGATCTGAGGGCTCATGCCTACAGGTGGGGTCCGGATTTCTGGCTGCAGCAAAGATTCACTAGATGTCATCCCAGTATGCTTACTCAGGGAAACTGGTGGGGGTGTAGAGCTGGGCAGGACTCCTTTCTGTGTATAGACCTTGCACCTCTGGGAAGGAGAAGTTGGTGGCTTGTACTCAGATGTCTTTGAGAGGCTCGCAATGCCAAGCCGGGGTGAACCCATTGGCCTAGGTTTGCCTTCCACAAATCCACAGGTGTTGAGGCTTTCTCTGCTGCTCTGCAAGCTGGTGCTGTGTGCTAGCTGGCAAGAGCTAAGCTCTTTACTAGAGCTGCCTGTTACACTCCTGGGAGAAGAAGGAGTCGAAACATTAGCGAGAGCTCCAGAAGGAACAGGGGAGTGATTTCTCTTAGTTTTGCTGGGTGTTGCATTTATATTTTCCTTGGCTTCTCGATCAGGATGCTGACATTCTGGCATTGTATCTTCCTTATCTGACTCTGGTAAGTGGCTAAGCTCTGCCAGCTGGCTTGAGACAGAGCACTTAGACATCTGGTCTGAGCTAAATTGAGCAGGCATCTCTTCAAAGGGAAATTTGTCGGTCTCTTCACTGCCGTCTATGCAATCCAGCCTCTCCTGGAGCTCTGCAAAGGTGTTGCACTTCAGGCAGTCTCTTTCAGACGTGCTGGGCCCTGATTCACTAACTTCCTCCAACCTGCCCTCGTTTTTGGTCTTTTGCAGAGCAGGAACTATGGGAACAAAGTCAGGGGGACCCTCATTATCTGTCAGTTCCTTATCAGAAAGGGCAGTGCCATTGGGGCCAACGTAAATCACTGTGTCACACGACTGCTCACTGCTGGACGAATAATCAGGATCACTTGATAAATGCAAAATAGGGAAGTCTGGGTCAACGGTGTTTCTAGAATGAAAAGGTCTCAGCTGGGTTGGCCTCCGCATCCTGCCCTCCTCACAAGAGCTCTCTCCTCCAGAAGAACTTGATGTATACTGCGATATGAGAGAGACAGAAACCATGACATTTCAGCATTGCATGCAGTTCCTTACATAAAGCACATACACCAAAGGGTCACGGTCACATCTAAACTGGGAAATCTCTAAACTAAGGCACAGAGCTCTGAAGCTTCTTATCCACACTCTTACAGCAAACACACAACAGTGTTCAATGGAGAACACGATGCCTCAGCTCTGTGTCCTATTTTAAGAGTCATGAGACTTCAAAAAAATAGTGTGCAGAACAAATGGATTAGGGTTCCTCCCTTAATTGAACCTGGCCAAAGAAGTCAGATACTTGGCAAAGGCTTTGCTCTGTGTGTGTGTGTAAGAAAACTCATTACACGAATAAGGCACAGAAGATAAAGACAATTCCCGTTTGGTCATACTACCAGTGTGTGGAATTGTATAACGTGCACTCAGAGGTCTCTAGGGACACATTGCTGTGTTAGCATGTGGACTGAATCCCTTCACTTGTATTTCTTCAATGCATTGACAAAAAAGGTTTTGTCAACCCACAGATCGTCAATTTAAAGGAAACGCATAAAATTCACTCATTGTTCTCAATTCACACTGTAAACTGTAAAGAACAAACCAGGACTCTAAAATATGAAAGTGGATACAGCCAATCTTCACTCTACTTCTTGGAAAATCTATCACCCATATTTAGCAGCAGTGAGAATAAATGGGGCATCAATGCTGGCAATGGACACACTGCTTTGCATTTATTTTGCTCCTGCTCTCTCTGAGAAGCGTAGAGACTCTAACTCTTCATTAATCCAGATTTCCTTTAACTCCACAGCAGTTTCATTCCTTATTATTTCATTAGCACTAAAAGCATAACTGAAAACAAATGCACTCTGACAGCTATATCATTAAATGAGGGCAGCTTACAAACCTGCTACAGCAGATATGTCTGAACTCACTCCTCTGTATCTGAAGCTGAAGCGTTTAGCCCCCCTAGTCTCTGCTATGTGCTCTAAGCCACTTGCCTAGGACAGGGTACATACAACCCACACACTTTGGAATTGATTACTGATTTTGTTACATGCTGCTTTACCCCATCAAGGATCCTTTAGGAACCTTCTTCCTCCCTTCTTCACCGTTACAAGAAGGGAGTTATAGATCGTCTTACCTTAGTTTTCTTTTTCTTCATCCTGAGGACCCTTGATGCAATCTGGATGGTGGACAGTGTCTCAGCATAGTTCCCCGCAGCAGCTGAAATGTGAGCTATCATTGTGGTGCGGCAGTTCATATTCCCCAAGGACTCCCGAAGCAACATGGTGAGCTTGCTGTCTCTGCAAAATAAAATGAATTAAGGCTACATTAGCGAGCGAGGTTTCACTTTGACCATCGTGATGTGACTTGGGTCTCGGCAAGATTTTTTCTCCTCTTTTTAATGGAATCCTAATTAGTTTCCTTCCTTAGGTTTGCACTATGTTATATCTGCAGCTGAGCATGCTGAAAGTCCCTGGACTACAGTTTAAACTTCTTTCCTCTTCCCACTTCCCTCTTTATGTCTTCTTCTGGCCTCAGTCCTTCTGCACTGATACCACTGCCAATACAAAGATACAGCCCAGCGTTAGAGACTAACTGTTAAGGAGCCGCTGCCGCAAACATGAAACTGCTGCCCTTTTCCCGTGCGTGGTGTGCAAGCAAACTCTGGCCCAGCTCTTGAAACCAAGACAGTAGTGGATTAGATTAGAAGACCCAAATTTTTTCTTGCCTGCTAGGGCACTGTGTAACTCAATAATAATAATAGTTAAATCACTGAAATTAATTTTGGATGATGCTGGTGAAATACAAAACAATCAAGCCTTAAGACTCCGCTCAATTGTTCTTTCATATTAGATCTTTTCTTCCACTGAGGTAGGAATCAAATTTTCTGTTCTTGCCATTTACTCTATTGTTCAGCACAGGATAGCTTTTGAAATGCTGATGCCTTATTGTGGGGCCCTCTGTGACTGGACTAAGAATAGGAATTGTCAAGCATGACAATTTTAACAGCATAATGATGCATATATAATGCTCTGTGGTGGTCATCTAATCTTGTAGTCAGAAATATACTGTATAATTTTTAAAGAGAGCTTTAGCTACAAGGTGTACAGGTCAGCTGGCTGGTTAGTTGGGAAGTGGCATCCTCTTGAAGAGAGCATCTCCTATGCTAAAGGCTGAAGATAGTAGTTACATACAGCTGAAAGTAAAGACAGCAATAGTCTGATATTTACTTATTGCTAAAGGAATTGCTTTCACTGCTGTAACAATAGCAATAACTTCAGTGGCTGGGGATCAGATTTTTGGGGCTCGCTGTTCAATATCTGCTAGCGACCTATGGTACATGTGTGCCCTTGATCGTTTACTTAACATTTCCAGCTCACGGGAATTCTGCATAAAGCTGCAACTGCTGGGAACTGAAGCGATGTCTACTGGATGGGACTGACATACACACAGCAAAATTCTTGAACCTCTCTTTTTTATGAAGTAAACAACAGTGTTTTGGATGCATATTTTGATACATCTAGCAATAAGGCTGAAGAGTTCATAAATCGTGTTTCTCCCGAGATTTCCAGTACTTGTGATTTCAGCTAGGCTAGCAATACTGGAAGTAAAACATTTTTTGTTTCAGGATTTCTGCTTCCATCTGCTCCAGACACATTGAAGAGAGTCTGGTGTCTTTGAGAAGCAAACAAACATCCATAAAGGGTACACTGCGACAGCCTCACTCATTTCACTCGTGACCTAAGGCTGCTTCGAATCCACAGATTCAGAGTTAACAGGCTGCTGTGTCTCAGGTTAGTGGCCCTCCTTTCCATCAAGGAATAATTAAGATGTCAAATTTTGTACATCAGTTACTGCCACTCCAATGCAGAGTTACACAGAAATTATTAACATCTGCACAGAAATCAATAACAAGCCTTTCATTTGCTAGTGCTTCTATCAGAGCAAAGCATGGGACGACAGGGGAAAGGGCAAAAGAATACATTTTGAACATGTCGGTCTCCTGAGAACACATAACCCATGCAGCCAGCATCAGCACACTGCAGCATGGCTCTCCTAGAGGTATATGCATTATGAATATAAAATAATCTGTGCCATCTGCCTTGTACTGAAATATACACTTGCAAGAAGAATGATGATACAGAGGAAATTCCTATTCTATAATTCAAATGATTCTCTGACATATATCGGATAGGAACTAAAGGGCAGATCTGTTTTTAGGATTAAACCTAGCAGCAAACTACTTATTTCTCATTTCAGAGTTCACTCATTCAGCACTGTTTTCATCTTGACTATCAACTTCATTTTGCACCCAGACAAAATAACTAGCCTCATGTCACTATTGTACATTGAAAAATAAAATAAAGAGGAAGAAATCTGCTAAACACAGATTTTTGTCAATTCTGGACATTGTCATTAGACAAGTTCACCTGTTCATGGTTCACTGATCTCTCACAATAGCACCTACTAACTTCTAAAGGAAAGAAAGAAAATCAAAGAGAACATAATAACACAAAAATGTGCAGCTTAATTTTTAACTCACTCTATTCTCATCAAGTAAAATATTGGTAAAATATTTCTGATGTCTCACTGAAATTTGCTTGACAGACAGTGTGAGACAAAATCGATGCTTTGTTCTTACGAATGCTGACATGGCATTTCTGCCTGAAAAAAAGAAAGGCTCTGAATTGTTTCATTAGGTGATTCATGAGCTGGTATTTGCAAAAACAAAGTTTCCCATGAAAGCAGAAATTTTACAAAGAGAAGGTCTGCACTTCTGCAGTGGAAGAGCTTTCAGAAGGAAGACCTTTGTTGATCTTCTGGCTGGGCAAACTAAACTAAGACACAGGAAATTGTGAAGAAGCTCACAGAAGGGCTGCTGCTCCTGGGTGCATGTTGCTCCCTGTATTAAGCAGAAACTGGTTTGTAGTAGGTCCCAGATTTCTCACAGCAGCATAGCAAATCGCACCAATGTCTTTATGGTAAAGGGAAGATCTTCAGGAATGCTATTCTGCTCCCCAAGCAATAAAATGATATGCCAGAGCAGCACGATGACCCCATTTTAGATACCTGTCTTCATTTTAAATGCACTTCAATCCCATCCACTAATGTTTTTATAGTTTAGAAAATTTACCATAACCCATCATGAATATGAGGATACAATACACAGAGAAAAATGAAGGTGGCGTCAGAAGGATACCACGCTTCAGACTCCAAAGTCTTTATATCAGTAAGTCCACTCTGCAGCCTTTTCAGTGCTTAAAGGTACCTCAGTTTTCTAACTGGATCACTTGGTGTAATAAAATGCATTACTTTTACTTGTAAACCTTTTCTCCCCTAACTCCTTAGATCATCATGGCTACAGCAAAATACTACTAAATATCATTCATACATCCCACACAGGTAAAGCCCCAAAATAAAGCATGCAAAGCTCTATCTCTGGAAAGTCCAGAGGCAGGAGCCCTGGGGGCAGGAAAATAAACTCGTATGTCTCTAGGATGTCAGCAGGTAAGGTACAGAGCATCCAGAAAGGAAGAACTGTGCAGATTGCCAGGCAGAAAGCTTCAGTTCATTCGATGGAGTAGCAGCCCTCCATGTGGAGAGGAGCTCTCTCTTCTCCATGCTGCTCACTTACTTCCTCTGTATTTCCACTCTCTCATGTTACGGCAGCTACTACAGGACTCATAGAGCTGTTCTCTGAGTCTCTCAACAGCTACCACTAAGGAACCCTAGCAGGTATTAAAACTCCTCAAATGAGAGATGTGGCAGCCATGCAGTTAGCAGTGATCTCCATTTCTTCTTTTCTGAGATTTCACCCTGCAAACTGGGCTCCGTGTAAATTAGTCCTTTCACTCGCTCAGTAATAAGGAAAACCGTACATCTTTGTGCTCCTCTTCTACATATCTGCATCTTCCTTCCTCATGAATGATTAATTATACTCAGATTCAAACAATACAGAATCTTTCATCAGAAGAATGAAGATCATGATACATTTCCTTGAACACTGCCCAAATCCCACTTGCCTATGTGCATTAAGTCAAAGTCTCTAATTTCCTGACTGCGTACTATTTTTCCACTAGACCCCTGCCTCAATCACTGCACAGGATAAACAGTGCTCACTGAACAAGAAGTTATTCAGTCTTTCTTTTAATCCTTGCCTTTTAATGTGCAGACTTGTGCCTTATCTACTCTTAGGACTATACAAACTCAGCTCTGAATCCAGAATGACTGATTTCTTCAAAGGCCCCTTTTTTTTCTGTGGAGCTCATCAATGCAGTATCTGATGAATGCCTCTGAGGTGAGGTATGTAATCTTCTGATAATACCTGCAGCAATGAAGACTTCACTAAGCATAGGTGTTTGGTGTGAAGCACTGATCTTTCAGAGTACTGAGCATCATATAGTCTTTTATATTCAAAGTACAGCTACCTTTGACTTCTGTTGCAGAGAAAATGGGGCAGTCAGTTCTAAATCTGGTTACCCAGAAAACCAGGAACACACAACTAATAGCACATCTAAAAATTTTAGGAACGCATTGGCAGAGCCAGTTCTGAAGGTGGTACCAGCTCCCTTCAGAATACTTCCCTTCTCTTCCACAGCCCTTGGTCTCCTTTTCCAGATACCTTCCACCTCTGCTACAAATTACGGAAGGAATTTATCGACATTGACCACATTGCTGTACAGTCGTGATTCATCTCCAGAGCAGATCCTTTATCTGCCTTGAATAAGATGACTGTTTTAGGGGCAAGGAGGAAATCCCGCTAAGACAACACAATATATAGACCATGGAGACAGAGTAAGTTTGCCAGGACAACCTTAATTCTGGCATTTCCTGCCCCTGTATTAATTGATTTCACAATTTGAATGCTCTTATTATATATTTTTATGTAATTTTATACGGATTTGAGTTTATACTTCACAGAGACATCAGCAAGCCTGGAACCTTCCTATGTATTAAAAATCCTCAGTTGCTGAACTTGCCGACCAGCTGGCAGCAGCAACCAGCTGCCACCTTTTGTATGGACAAGCAATAGAGCAGGAGGACATGACTCACAATTTACCATGAGGTTTTGCTAGTATTAGCGGCCTGTAGAGAAACAGTGAGACTCAGGAGCATTGCTGCCCTGAAGAAGAGCTGTGCTCTTGTGTATTCACATCCATTTTGTCATGCTTTTCTCTCACCAGACAATCCAGTTCTCTTCTATCAGTGTCTATCCTGGGCTTTCCTCATCCGACCTTTTTACTCATTCTCATTCCCATATTATGATGCCCATCTCCAGCTCCTCACCTAGATAGCCCAG